GGCCGCCCCAGGACACTCAGGCATCTGCTCAGCTGTCCTCATACATCCTATGCATGATCAAGCTTTGTCAAAATGCATAGGAAAGGGTGTGAGAGGTGCCAATTTAATGCTAGTTCTCCTCATCTCTCCTCACCTCTTGCACACGCCCGCACCCCCATAGCGCTGGGAGCCAACCCCCCTCTCACACTCTGCTTTCTGAATGGAGGAGCTCTGTCCCCGAAGTCCAACCCCAGGCAGAGGCTGGCCACCTGCCAGGGACAGGCTTTCCCGCCCTTTGACATTCTGACAATCTTTCTCCACCAAGCATGGGACAGGACCAGACAGTGGTTTGAGAGGAGAAGGAAGAGGGGATCCCACACTCCTGAACCACTGCCCGGTCCTCTGTCCCCCGTGAGCCCAGTGAGAAGACCATCAAGGGATGCTTTGCAGCACTTAGATGAGCTCAGGTCTCTAGAATCCCATCATTCCCTCCTGGGGCCGGAGTCCCTGTCATCCTTGCTGAGATGGTGGTGTCTCCGGGGACCCAGAATCAGAATCCTCAGGGGACACTGGGGATCTCGACAGGAAACAACCAGGATCCAACATGGCCAGGGGGCCCCTTGGTGGGGGGAGTGAGCACCCAGGAGGGAAGGAGCTGGGCTCCCAGACCCAGCAAGTCCCACAGGCCCTAGGGGAGACCTCTGGGTGATAAGGGGGCTTCCTCCCTCCCTGCCTCTGGTCTGGACAGAGCCCCCACCTTCACCCACCTCAACAGTGGATGTGGGTTTGGGGCTGGTTTCAGCCCAGATGACAGGAAGCCAAGTCACAGAGGTGTCAGCGAGAGGCCACAGGCCCCAACACCCAGCCTGATGCTGGACCCAGGCTTCCCGTCCACCGGCACCAGGCTGGGCGATAACCAGCTGGGCCAGACCTGGGACAAAGATGGCATTTGGGCATTAGGAGTAGATCTGCCCGAAACAGAAACAAGAGGTTTGAGGGTCTCAGGGGGAAATGTCATGACTATCATTGGCAGATAATACGATCTTCCTCCCAGAAGAGCCAAAAGCCTCAATGAAAAGTTGCTAAGATTAAGTTTCCCAAGGTGTCTAGATGGAAGACAAATGTTTTACACACAAATCAGGAGAGAAAAAAAGAGAAACTCATCTTTAACCCCAGGCAGAGCTAATGCGATGCCATATGGTAGAGACTCCATTCACGACCAGGTCCATACATTCCTAACTAGAGTCCGTGACAACCACAAAACTTCCTTGAGAAGGACACTCACACGAAATAAAATGTCATTTAATGTTGTTAACAGGAGACGGTGTCATCCAATATCAACTCTTCCAAAATCCCAATAGAATGTGAACTGCAGACAAGTCTGGAACATTCCAAGTGACCCCCAAGTTTGCCAGGAGGAACATACAGGTGGGGGTGTCCCAGGAAGCCACAGGGCAGAGTGAGGCAAACTAGGCAGCTGGTATCATAAAGCTGTGGGAATGGGAACCGAGTGGCGATCCAGTGACGCAGGGCGAGGGAACGGCCCAGCCAACGTGCCCATCCTCCTAGACCAGTGATGGCGGACCTTTTGAGCTCGGCTTGTCAGCATTTTGAAAAACCATAACTTAACTCTGGTGCTGTGTCACATATAGAAATTTATTGATATTTGCAACCATAGTAAAAACAAAGACTTATATTTTGGTATTTATTTTACATATTTAAATGCCATTTAACAAAGAAAAATCAACTAAAAAAAATGAGTTCGCGTGTCAGCTCTGACACACCTATCATAGGTTCGCCATCACTGTCCTAGACCCAGCCTCA